ACTCCAATGACGATTTTGACCACAGTCACTCAACATCGGATAAGCTCCTTTCCCTCAACGAGCAACAATTAAATAAAAGGCGCATATATGCAATACACGGCTCCACTAAATTCTACTTTGAAACAACAGTCCTGCTGGCATCGTTTCCAGTTTCTTACGCCTCTTCCACATGAACATCGTAATGAACTAACCATTTAGCTACGCACACACCCAGTCTTGATCATGCCTTCAGAACCCAGTCACTCACATTCAAAGCCCGAATAATAATATACTTCACGAGAAAAGTACAGGACCCCCTTTATTTTCCCACGTATTCCCGGTTGCTGTGTTGTCTAACGAAACTATATCTGCTCAGAACGACCGAAGACCCATTACGATGCACAGTATAAAATTTCACAACAAAATAATTCGCTATGTGATCGAATTAGAATGTGCGAAATATGATGTAACAAAAGTACAGGACCCCCCTATAGTTATTTTTAAAATCGTGTACAACCGCCATTCTGCTTGAGGACCTCATTATATCTTTTCCACCTACGTCTTACATGACCTGTGATCGTCCCCTGTTCAGTATTCGCCCATTCTTGCTGAATGGCAATTATCAGTACACTACTTGACCGGTAAAGTATGGAATCCTTGAACACCTGGCGAGCAAGCAAGCCCCATTGGCCCTGCATGATATTGATCCCATAGAATAACTGCCAACGTATTTTAGTGCACGAGCGCTAGACAGTAGCCTTATCATGTTGCAATATCTCGCCCCTCTAGAAATCTGTTGGTTTAATTCTACGTGGCACTGCGCAGACCATATTCGGTGTGAGTTCTGTAAGGTGTATACGTGCAACCAAAGCCAGTGAAGGTCACCTAGGTCACTAGGGTGCATCACGTGCCCCAGTGCACATGAATCACGTGATTCTGGTTCTCATGCATTTGTCAGTCACCAAATCCACAGACCGAACTAATCCGCTTGTTGCCAGGCTGAATGATCCGTCTGGTTTTGCTAAATTTTCCATGGGATAACACACCGGGACTGTGGGTCCTATACTTTTGTCATCTTCGATTCATACGTTTTCTGCACGGTTTCACTCTGACATTTGGTATGCCGTATATTATTGTGCATTCGGTCATTCTGACCAGATACGGTTTCCTTAGAAAATACAGAAGTGGTTATACGCTGGAAATTGAAGGGGGTCCTATAATTTTGTCTTGCAGCACATGAAATTAGTGGACTCCTCTCACTCGATACTTCTATTTTTGTACGAAATAAATTGTGCACATAAACTCACACTTTATTTGATTGGCCGTTCTTCGACAGAACGGCACTTGTTTATGATCTTTTTCTTTTGAAGTGAAGAAACAATAAACTGTCCCCTTGTGATTGGTGTTTTCTCCTCTTTCACTGTATTTCCTTTTTACTCACGCAATAAAAAATAATAAGGAACAAACGGAAGAAATACAATTTACATCACATAATGGTCACGAAGTTCCAGAACATTCCTGTATTGTTTGGACAAAAGTGTCCATGAGTTGACAATGAGTTACGGTTGTTTAATGTTCTGCTCATTCAGCAACAATTATCGAGAAATCCGTTCGCCAATCACTTTTTGATATAGAACCTTGACGACCACCTTTTAGCATGACAAGCCACTGAGCAGCCAATTTGCTCATAATTTGAACTTCCATATGCTCCGCATTCCTTCGGTCGGAATGAAAGCCAATGAATAAGGCGTCAGCCGTTGGATATACACTAGAATGTGGTCATATTCGGTCGCTAACTCTAGTTGTAAACGGCATAGTGCATTGAGAATGAAAAAACGCAGTCCTCCAGGTTCCCAGCACCGACTGGATATGATGACCCCTTAAACCACTGTATACTGAGAGTTCGCTGGTGTAGCTGCCTCTCCTATCGGTGTAGCCTAGCTGCAGCGTGGTACCAGTCGCTCCAGTTGTACGCGAGTTCGGTCACGTGCTGTCCGCACCCGTACGAGACGCACGAGCCCTCTGGACGTCTAGTCCTCTGTCCCACCCCAGTCCAAACCATTATTTTCCCCTTTCGACTCTTACTTCTTAACTTCAGTGATATAATTTTTTCTCTTCACTTTATCTGCATCAGGATTCATAGCCTCCGTAATGGGATATATTTTCTTCACCGTCACGAACTTTCAGTCCTAGTATCGGGCTAAAGTGTATACTGGGACTAGTTTCAAACGTCAGCCTTTCTTGCTCTTACCTCGGGATTATTGTGGACTCGTAAGTGTGCTACTGTGGCAACTGATCAATTTGTATTTGTGTAATCACTCGGCAATGCAATGTGCCACGACTGGCATTGTTAGCATCTCTATCAACAGCATAGATCCAACCATCGGCTGCTGTTCTCATACCACATGAACTGAATACGCCCACTTTTATCAGGAATGATAGCCCTGCACAATACGCTCTCGGATCTCGTTCGAATGCTTCTCGCACGGCACTACCTGGGCATTATGTGCAAGATTTAATAGACATTCGATGAAAGTGTTATTTCAAGCCACATTTCGACACCGTACCATTGCTTTTTTTACCAATCGTTGAGCACTGATGGAGATAACCTTATCAAACTTTCCAAACACCCACGTCGTTCCTGTTGAGAATCCTGGTTCTGAGGCTTTACGTGGGCCCAAATATTAAACTCACGATGAAAAACTTATCCATAACGCGCACTGTGATAAAAAATAATGAACCGCAGCACGGGTTAGTTACCACTGCACATCAGCATCGAGTGTTACGCATATCTTTTTGACATTACCCATTTGGTTATACAGTAGTCCCCTGATAGCGATATCCTCCCTGGAACACACATTTTTGATGTGCAAGAAAATTATCTTTCTTCAACTATTTCCCATCCTAAACGTATTACCTCTGAATAAGAAACAGTTTGAGCGACCACGAACAGCGTTTCTTGATGAGGGCTCTACTGTATTGCGAATGTTTATCGAAGAAAAATCATGTCATTTGTACTAATGAAAATGCGAGCAACACTTACTTATTGGACGGAACCTAATGCATTGCTTCGGGTCGGCGCAAGAGCATGAGTTCCTGCAAGGAAAATTCAAACACACCTTATTGTCCGCATCGACGGAGACCCGCCCGGGGGCTTATCATTAGATCATTCTTCTGAAGAACCTGATTTGGAAATCTTACCATTCTGAGTTCCGATCACAACCCCATCGGTGAAATTTCTCTTTTGGAGACTCCAGACACTTTATGAAATGACTCATTACGCAGTGTATCAGCGCTCAGCTCAACAATAAAAACCACGAAGGCCCTGTACAGCTGTTTCCTCCCTGGTAGGAACTGTCAGCTTCAGTGAAAAATCCCCGGGCCCCATAAACTTCGATTTCAACTCAGAATGTGTGACTTTGAGGCACACACGCCTTGTCACCAGGCTATCCGACCTGACCGCTAACGATTTGTTTCACGTCAACACTACACGGCCTCTGGCTACGTAACAACAAAGGATATTCTGTCAGCTACAGCGGGCTGAATAAGCGGTTACATACTTCAGAACACTCGGTGTCGAACGAGCTTGTTTTGGAACTTCGTAACAGACACACATTTAATAGGTGTTGAAATTAAGATAATAGAAGAAAATTGATAACGATGGAGACAACAAATGACAATTTTTTGTCTGCATGGTTACGTTGCTATCGATGTAGCGTCAATAATTGTCATGTCGGTTGCATGGGGTGTGCCATTTCGTCACATAGACTTGCGTCGATGGCCAGTGCAAAGTAGGAGATCTCACATCTTGTTTCTGAGAGCTCAGCATACTGGATGAGTACATCCGTTCAGATAGCTTTTATTTTGTTAATCAGTGTTTAGCATGAGGAAGTAAGCTGGAACTCAGATCGGATTAGTTCAAGACTGTGTACACATTTGTGGGAGTTTCGTGCTGAATGACAAGCAAGTAGTCCACATCTAAAACCTATAGCATCGAATGGAAGCTTGATTAGGCAGTGCTGACGTATAGAAAGCCATTGAGAATTAGTCCGAATAAGTTAACGAATAATGTAGATGTGCACTGTGAAATATTTCTAGGTGCTACTGTAGCGTGATTCCTACCTACATGTTTCGTTCCTACTTCACCTAGCCATTTGCAATGTTCTTACGAAAGTTTTCTAATGAAGTGGCGCACGGTGAAGAACCAGCACCAAGATATCTCCCCCGACACGGTTTCTTAGTGGAGAAATAACCACACCGCACGTGCAATGGGCCGGTGATGTCCCCGAACAAAACGTTCCATGGACAGAATATGCCAGTATGGATGTGCAAAAGAAAGTGTTGCCAACCTTTTTGATCATTAGGAAATGGGGACGAATTCTTCCATTACTGTGATTTGAACGGAATATTCCACTGTAATTTGAAGCTCTGTGAAATTTTAGAGCCAGTCTACCTCTGGAGCAACAGAATGCCACTGGAAGAAGTACTAAACTTTACGGGTAAAGCCCCGAACAGTTGGGTTGATTTCGCGGCAATTCAACGCAGTATTGGAGAAGTATTTGTTACACTATTCGGATTTGATTTTCTCAATATAGCCGGCATATTTTAAATCTAATCCTTATTTTTGACTAATGCTTATCAGGGTAGGAAGCATACTTTAGCGGAACATCAATGATAAGAACTGCACTATGGTAGCACTAATTTGTAAGGATCTGCTTCCATGAATGCCCGGTGGTATGTGGAACTTTGCTCGTGTATGATGATGGTTCCTGCAAGTCATTTGGAAATCATTAGTCGGGATTTTCACACAGCTGTTTGTTGCAAATACATGAATCAGCGTTGACTGATTTCTGTTCTAGACATCAGTGTGAACTCTATTTGGTTTACCAAGAGCAAAACGGGAACTTTGAGAAATAATAACGAACAGTTTCTCTTCACTTGTTGAATGTCCGAATTTTATTGACACAAATGTATTGGAGGATAAATCTCCTGGGAATGATATCCACTACCTGTAATTCGTGATGAATCTAAAACTTACAATCACGTTGGACCGATATGAATTTGTATTGGGAAACATGGACGATTTTTCACGGACACTTCGAGGCCTCTATTCGTATTTTCTGTATTGTAAATGCAACTGTTCAAACGAAAGTGGAGTGCTGATAGAGGCTGGTATGTGTGTTTGTGTGTGTGTGTGGGGTGGGGGGGGGGGGGGGCGTCGATCATACCAGATTAGCTGAAAAAATGTGTTTTTAAAGATGTCAACTGGGCTGAATACTGACGACCTTTACCACCGGGGATTTGGCGAGTCAGTCCAAAAGCGATGTCATCCACGTTCGACATGTTCGACATGTGTACATGCCGCACTTTCGGGTCAACGTATGCTGAGTGCATTTGGTCCACTCGGCGGTTCCACTGGGTTCGTGTAAATCCCCGACCCCCGGGGATTTCGTTTGAAGTTGTCCTGCACGGGTTAAAATAGGTGAAAGGAACCTGCGATTTTTCCGTTTGCTTCACGGAAGCTGGACCAGAACGTGATTAAATCGTGTATCCACTCTGGGCGTGTGCGTACATGGGTCGAGTAAAGTGGCTGATTTCTGGAGGAGAGGGGAAGAGAAGTTTGTTTGTACAAATATAAAAAGTGACAAGCGTTTGTAAACATTGGGCAAATAATTGAAACGAACTGAGAAATAATAACCTACGGATAGTCCATTCTTGCTTGGAGAAGCCCGTGAAGTTTCTGTACGAGTAGAATTTTGAAGAATGAAAGAAACACAACTTGGATATTTTCGTATTTGAATTTTTCTTCAGTATTATGTAAGCTTTCGATCACCGGTACTTGATTATAAATAAAAGGAGTCACCATAAATTGAGGACCGACTGGAGTGATATATGACGAACACGCATGATATCCTCCACGGTGTCGAGTTTGCTCTGAACAAAGCAGCTAATGAAGCAATGATATCTTGGGAACCAGTCTCATCCAGACTCGCCTTGGCACGTTTTAAGAGCTCCCCGTACAACATGACGGTGATTGCGATCCATGCTCCAACGAATTCGGCTGATGACGAAACCAAAGACGAATTCTACACTAACTTGCAGGAGGTAATCAACCGGGTTCCGAGGCGCGACGTACTTTTCATCGCAGGAGATTAGAAAGCTCGCACTGGTACAGCCGATGAATTCACTAGCCATATTCTTGGGAAATTCGGTCTCGGTCAGTGCTGCGAGAAAGGTGGCCGACTGGTTGGTTTGGTCGACGTCAACAGAATGGTTGTCTGCAGCACTCGATTTCAACACTCCAAGAAGCACTTACTCACATGGTACTCCAGGGAGGGTCACACTGCGCACCAACTCGACCACATCCTGAAGAGAGCCCGTTGGGCTTTGTCAGTGGAGGATTGCCGGGCGTACCGAGGTGTAAAAACGGGCAATACAAACGGCATCGACCACGTCTTCCTACGCGCGTGTTTCGAAATTCATCTGTCTACAAGTGCTAAAGTGTCAGTACCATCCCGGGTAAACCTTACTGCCCTAGAAAATCCAGAGAAGCGAGAAGCAACCAATGCACAAGCAGATGAAGTTTCTGTGGAAGGGCAGTGGACTCGAATGAAGACGACAGTCAAGGAAGCTACTTGGACAGTACTCGGGAGAACAAAAAGGCGGACAAAAGATTGGATCTCGGAGAGCATTCTCCAGTTGTCAACCAAAGCACACGAAGCCCGACTAGCAAGTAGTGAAGAAAGCCGTAGACTGCTGCGAGAGGCCACGCGCTCCGCCAAGGCTAATCGCAAAAGATACTGGATAGAATTAGATGAAAAAACGGGGACGGTGTCCGGAACTGGTGACTTCGGTAAACTGTTCCGCCTTATTCGCAACGCCTCTAATAGGTTACGCAAACAAAATTCCCTACTTTCTGACACGGCAGGCAAATTAATACCCGAACAGAGTAAGAAAATGGACAGATGGGTGGAATACTTCGGTCGGCTGCTCAACCGGCCTACGGACCACCGGACGGACCAACCAATATCAACCCCTCTACTCCAGTGCGAAAGCAACTGTGACCCGCCTAACACCGCGAAAATCACGGAAATGATAAACAAACTGAAGGATAGAAAGACTGCTGGGGAAGAGGGCATCCCTCCAGAAGTCTATAAAGCATGTTCATCGTCATTAATTGACAGGCTGTGTACACTTTTTGGCTTCATTTGGTGAGAGGAAGCATTTCCATCCGATTGGGGAATGTCCATTCTGTTGCCCATTCCGAAGAAAGGTGATAAATCGGCATGTGAGAACTACCGAGGGATCAGCCTGATCGATGTGGCCGCAACGATCATTGGTGCGTTATTACTAACCCGTTTCTCCGAGGCAAAGGACCAGCCCACTCGCCCGAACCAAGGGGGTTTCCGTCGTGACAGAGGCTGTGTGGATCAAATCTTCACACTGCGCCGAATACTGGGGCACCGCTATAAGTTCCAGCAGCAGACAGTAGCTTGTTTTATTGACTTCCGGGCCGCCTTTGATTCGGTTAACCGTGAGTCTCTTTGGACCACAATCCAATCTGATGGAATGCCCGATAAGCTTTTAAGGCTGTTAAGGGGATACTACTCGACAACCGGTGCTAGGGTTCGTATGTACGGTGAAGAGTTCCGCGAGTTCGCACTCACTACCGGCGTTAGATAGGGCTGTCTCCTCTCACCTGTGCTGTTCAACTACGCCATCGATTGGACAATGCAACAGGCATTACACAACTACCCTGGTGTCCAGCTTAGCCAGGAAATATACATCTCGGACCTGGAGTTCGCGGATGATAGTGTCGTGCTAGGAGACTCCCCCACTACGATACAACCAATTCTCGACCGAATCAATTCCTTCGCGAGGTCCATCGAACTTGGAGTAAATTCGACCAAAACAAAAGCTTTCACAACCCATCTAGGCCCAACAATTTAACAACTGTCCATCAATGACCAACCAGTCGAATACGTCCCTTCACTCAAATACCTAGGTTCAACTCTGCTTCCGAACGGCCAGGCAAAAGATGAAGTGGTATTACGGACCGACAGCTCCAGGAGACCCTTCCTTCAGCTAAGACGAACGCTGTGGACTCGCAGTGAAATCAGCTTAAGAACAAAATTTCGTGTTTACCGTGCTGCCATTCGGCCCGTACTCATCTATGGCTGCGAAACCTGACCACTACCAGCTGAGGATACCAGAAGGCTGGAGGTTTTCGACCACTATTGCCTGCGGCAAATCCTGAAAGTCAAGTGGCGTGACGGGCTGTCTAACGACGAGGTAAGGAGACGATGCGCTCTCAGTCCTCCTCCAACGTCGACGACTTCAGTGGTTCAGCCATACGCTTCGGCGACCCGAGTCAGAGATAACCAAGCAAACACTCTGTCCCACTCCCTGCCCTGGTTGGCGTTGTCGCCTTGGTGATTAGCTCAAAACGTGGACCAGTACAATAGAGAATGACGTAGAGCTTCTAGGCCTTCGGTCGGTCTATGGATCCCGGCGATGGAAAAAGGACTGGGTCATGATCTGTGCCGAGCTCGCCTCCGACCGCCGCGCGTGGTCAACAATGGTCCGCGATATCCATGGAGCCGACTTATCCTCTCGCAGGAGATAGTCGCGTAAAAGTAAGTAAGTATGTTATCCTGGAGATTATCAAATGACCAGCTAAAACTTGCCGGGGACGCCGAACTACCCAAGTAGATAGGTGTTTTTTCGTACAGTGATGGGTTTCTCCATAATTTGTCCAGAAAAAGCAACATCGCATGCAAACGATTGTTTCATTCAATTCACTAGGAGGTTTCTGTGAGATTCTAACCACGTGATCCACCACGGGGAGTTTGAGTCACTGCATTTTGAACTTAGCACAAAGTCACACGTACACGGAAGCCTAGTTACGCATAGTCCGAACAACTAGAGGACGAGGATTCTCTGTTCATTTTGACAATCATATTGATCCAAATGCCTCATATTTCACTTGCCTCTTCACTTGCTGTTACGGTGACACATTTGGACTCGACTAGAGTAGTCGAACACAGCTCAAAGTGATTTTTACACCCAATAATTCAGCTGAGCTGCATAAGACAAAGATTATCAAGGTAACTGGCCTCAACTGCGACAGGGCATCTCCTTCCAACAGATCATTTAGTATACATGAACAATAAACTACTGTATCATTTAAACCCAAGTTTCTTCAGACAACATCTGAACTGATTTAGACATGTCGACAGTGACCGTACTGCATGCACAAGTCTCAGACCACAAACTGGGTTTTCAGTATACATATAGGACTTTTAGTGCCTGTCACATGAGAACACTTGATATAACGTCACATCTGGAAGCACTTGTGGTACTCCTGGAGTGGAAAACATGGGCATCGTGTAGGTCTGGGTAAATATGGTCCCCGCTGTTACTATTACTATTATTATTGTTATTATTAATACTGTTGTTGTTGTTGTTGTTGTTGTTGTTGTCATTGTTGATGTTGATGTTGTTGCTGCTGCTGCTGCTGCAACTACGTTGTCGGTCGTATTAGGAACCAACGACGGGAAATTCATATACCCGCCTGAAGGGCCTGCAGACAAAATACCGTCCTACATTTTACCGTCTTGATGTGTGTTGTGTGCATTCTGAACGCAAGGTCAGGCTGTGTGATGAAGTATGTTTGATAAGATAGAACATTTGTCATTATATTCCCACCTGCTACAGGTTTCTCCTCTTGAATATCTACCTAAGACAGTGTCTGGATGAAAATGATTCATGTCGCAGTGTCAAGGCTTCAAACACCACTAGAAAAAGGCAAGGGGTTTATACTAAGCTTTTTCTTCTGGTTGATTACGAATCGTCAGCACAATGCAAAGAGACAAAACCGGAAATGGAAACCAATCATCACATGGGGCATTGAGTTCCTCTGAACAGCCGTTAGTCTGTCGGGCCCGGCTCTCAAAACGGCCTACTTTACCGTACCGAGTCCTCCGTATTTACTTCACCAGAACAGAAAGAAGACATAAGGCTCAAGATGCAAACATTTAGTTTAATATAATCTCATTTGAAATGAGGAGCGAGTATGATAGAATAGCCTATTTTTACAATCGCAAGGTGATTCTTATAAATTTATTTCGTCGGTTAGTCAAAGACAACTTTCAGAACAATTCAGATGAGATTCAGGTAATGAATCTTACATTGGAGTACTCAAGCATAGGATTGATTGGGCAAGGAAGTACCAGGTATGCATGCCTGGTGGTCTGCAACAATGGCAAAACCGGTCGTGTGCTTCCGGGAGATTTTATCCTGTCATTCACATAAATAATGTACCACTTACATTTGGCTTACTCTTTTCGCTCGCGGACGTAAAACACGTCAGTGAAAATACGGCAGAATAGAAAAACATGTAACAGTGGAGTCGGCTCAGTTGAAAGCTCTTTAATGGGTACAGTTGGGTCAAGGGAGGTCTGCTGGTTTAGTTCCAAAGAAAATAAACATTGGTCAGTTATATTTTGCGAAGAACGCTGGCTGATACGTCAATTCACTAAACGCCATTGGCTTCGGTAATGTACTAAGCAACGTTGCTTTGAAAGATGAAGCCCGGTCAGTTTTGTGAACTGATGTAATAAAGTGTCTTGTAGTTGAAGAACTTGGCGATTTGACGTCATTCCTTGCGATTCCAGCGGTTTTGCGTCATTGATTTAAGTGACCATTTGGGTATGGGTTTTGACATTCGTTGAGTCAGTCAGCCAATGTGTACATCACCACAAACGAAATGGAACTGACTGATAACGTGAGACATTGAGATCAGCAAAACTGAGGGATTTTGAATACTCAACACTTCGGTCGTCTGTAACAATGCCACCTAGCAGTTGTGTAGGCAGCGTTCAATCTAACCTACTCAATTGTTATACTTTTGCCCCTACCGTACCATAGGTATGAACGGACATTGTTACATTCGACAAGAGTAAACGAATTACTTCGAGGCCTTCGAATACCAGGCCGTGCTTTTAATTTACTGAAGAATCGTGTTTTCTTTTTCCAATTCCGAAGCTGACCTAGTTCTTAAGGTCAAGTGTTATCTTGCAATAGCTCCTTTTAGATTCCTTATGTTCTTTTTCTTTTGGCATCGCGTTTTATGTAGTTTCGAATGTAGTCAGGAATGGTACAGAAAGCTTGTTGAAAGCATTTGAAAATGTATTACACCGCAGCATAATTCCTCAAGCTCACTCTCCCCACCTGATAAAATTTGCTTGGAAACCCTCTGTCAAATATAGGCGCTGTTTTTGACACTGTTGACTCTGATGGTCTTGCTCTTGATCACAGTGAACTTACTGTTATACTAATTTGTTTTGACGAGGCAAACATTTATTTCCCGCTCATCGAGGTACTCTCCTGCCTATTCTAAATAATAATGCAGTTGACTGTTGCGCTTTAAACACCCCACATGACTATTTTCATAATCTCGCGCAGTTTAATCTTCGTAGCAAAAAGCACTCGTCTTTTCTTCAAGTTACTTCTGGTGTTTTCATGGCGCCAAGCCATCCCCGTTTCTTTTCCCACCTTATATTATCAGGCTCTCGGTTTCACCTAATCTCACTTAAACATGAATCACGTTAAGAAACCGTTTCAATAACACCTCGTATCGTCCTTTTGATAACTGACATCTCCCTAAAGCTTCTTTTGTCCGTTACCTAGGAGTTATTCCCATTCAAAGCCTTTCTTCGGCTAGTCACGTCGGAACAGTTTTCTCTGAGGGCAGAAAGTTTGTCTTTTATCGTGCTGTCCAAGATAGTTCAATGATTTATAGTCTTTCACTTTATTTGTTACTCTTTTACATACTCCCTCTCTGACTTCACTCTCCACAGTACTTTTTCCTCGTTTGGAAATGAAGGATTTCGATTTTACCACCAAGACCCTGAGCTTGCTTTTTCTTTATAGCAACACCAATAGAAATATTCACATCGACTTCAACATTGACTACCATTTTATTGCTTATGACGAAGCCACCGACAGATTACTATCTGGCTTCAACCATCGGCTTCACCCGGTATTCTCTAAAGATGTCCCCTACACTTCCGCTCATTGGAAATTCATAATATTCCCTTCAAGCACATCTAGATACAGGACTGGTTTCATCACTCACCTAATTTGCCCACTTATAGACCCCATCCAAGAATACAGTGATTTTACTGTTCACCTTCGTCGATAAACTAAACGTATTTACTGTCTCATTTTGCTTCCACTTTTCTTTTGTCACATTTCGACCACTCCATGCGCTTTTTTCCTTGGATTCTACGGTAAATCAGAAAAGAGCCGAAAATTCACTCTATATCGGGTGCACAAAAGTATTTATTGATTCGATTTGACTTCTTCTGGAGACTGGTACTTTCTTTCTGTTCTGAACCTCATTTCACGTCAAAGTGATATAATCAGATCACTGACTTTATATGCGGACAAACAATCACCCACGTGGTCAACGGCTCCCATGAAACAATTCTTAGTGGTAACCTAAGAGTATGTGAAATTACTCATCTCTTCGGAGCAACACACAAAATTGGCCGGCCTAAAACATCTACTCAGTAAGCTTTGTTCAACGGCTAGTCGTGAACTTCTGAATAAATATTTTTTCGTGGGAAATCCGATTCACCCAGCAATGTTCGACTGAAAACAGCCTTGCCGATGGTAAATAAGAGGGCGACGGTTTGCCAAATTTGTGAGAGTACTGACAGTTGCATTTTTCGCCAGATGTTAGCAACTGTAGGACAAACCACCCGGATGATCTTTTTATGGTTGATTTTGTTTCATCTAAAGACGGAAATGAAGTTGATTTATCTGTTGGAACGTTTAGGGAGTGAATATAGCTGATTTCCACTCTGGAATCAGTTGCTTTTGGGCTCGCAATCAGTCGAGGCAAAACACGTATTTGTTACACTCCATTTGATTGTGAGAATGTAAATGCAACCAAACCGCAGCCGCTACTTAAGCCACGGGCAAGCAAGCAAGCAATCAAGTGAATGAGCGAACGAGTAAAAAAGGTGAGCTACTTATGCCCACACGTACAAATAAAAGAGGAAAATCGATACTTGGATAGATCGATAAATCGATACTGTCCGCGCCGAAGCACGACTAGATGTTCACGCTAAGCAGGCGTACATCCATTCACGAGAGGATTATTGATTGTTTATCCGAGTAGTAGGCGTGACTTAAACCAGACACAACATCAACTCTCCCTTCCTGAAGAAAACCATGGAGCACAACCCGTGATTGCAATCGCGGTATTATCAGCGACGACGGCCATAGCAGCATTATCCGTAGCAGTTATCGTAGTAGCAGCAGTGGCAATGGCATTAGCAGTAGCGCAAACGGTAGTCGCACTAGCAGTCGCAGAAACTGTGATCAAAGCAGTAGACGCGATAGTAGCAGTTGTTTTTGTGCACGTGTGACGACATAAAACAGTGAATAACCCAGCGCCAGTATAACGGAGGATGCACATAGGATATCCGCGACCAAGAACGGTGAGAAACTAGGCTGCACACTGAACGAGAATCGGAAAAGATTTCGTCAGCGATAGGTTTGTCAGAAATTAAAATGCAACATCAGCAGAAGTAAACGTATTTATGGTCACCATAATAGTAGTAATAACAAAACTAGAATAAGTCGTAGTAGTAGTAGTAGTAGTACTTGTAGTAGTAGTAGTGGTAGTAGTAGTAGTAGTAGTAGTAGTAGTAGTAGTAGTAGTAGTAATCGTAGTAGTAGCAGTAGTAGTAGTGGTAGTAGTAGTAGTAGTAGTAGTAGTAGTAGTAGTAGTAGTAGTAGTAGTAGTAGCAGTAGTAGTAGCAGTAGTAGTAGTAGTAGTAGTAGTAGTAGTAGTAGTAGTAGTAGTAGTAGTGGTAGTAGTAGTAGTAGTAGTAGTAGTAGCAGTAGTAGTAGTAGTAGTAGTAGTAGTAGTAGTAGTAGTAGCAGTAGTAGTAGTAGTAGTAGTAGTAGTAGTAGTAGTAGTAGTAGTAGTAGTAGTAGTAGTAGTAGTAGTAGTAGTAGTAGTAGTAGTAGTAGTAGTAGTAGTAGTAGTAGTAGTAGTAGTAGTAGTAGTAGAAACAGTAGCACTAACAGTGAGAACACCAGTACAATATGAAAATGCCTGGATGACTGTTCAGCGCCCATATAATGAAGGCTACACGTGCGTTAGAACCGGATGGGAAATCAAAGAGAAACCAGAAAAAATACTCATCAAAGAAAAACTTTCCGGTAGCTAAAGTGCAGCACACTCAAATTTACAAATGCCAAAATTGCTCTAAATGAATTGTATTTTGCAATTTCATTCAAATTCTCACAGTAAAGTTTTAGAACATTCCTTCCATTTTCCAAAACAAGCCTGTTGAATATTCTCTAAGTGGGAATTCATCCACAGTCATTATGGTGGGTGAGCTGCAAGAGTGACAGTTCCCTACAGGTTCGTCTTCGGAAACATTTAAGACTCTTGTGAAAAGCTTGAGAAAGCAATTGTAAAATTTTTTTGTAATCTGTTCTACCGATGTGAAACTAATAGTGCCAAGAAGGTAAGTGTGACAACATGAAGGTCCGTCGAAAAACAAAAAACTCTAGGCAACCTTTTAACTGAACTGTTCCTATTTGCAACATATACAGCAACGATGTCAACTTCTCTAGTGCAGTAGATCGGATAGGTTTCATGTCCGAGACCGCGACGCGAAATGCTGTGTTCGGGATTAACGGAGAACACAGTACGCAACAAATCCGTTCACTAGTGCATCAGTAAGCACGAACGTAAGCGAGAAAGAAAACAAACAAGTGAATGAGCAAGTGACCAAGAAGCTGAGTTACATGCGCCCACGCGCGTGAACAAGTGACGTCAATCAGTACATGGAAAGATCGACTAGTCAGTACTGTCCGCGTCGAAGCACGATTACATGTTAATAGAAAGTAAGCGTACGTCCATGCACGAAAGAAACACTGATTGGCTGTCCTTGTTGTGTGCGTGACACTTCAACCAAACACAACAGTCGCCAAATGAGGTTTACACAAATCGGTTACGATTATTAGTCACCATTTCGCTGGCTCTACTGTCCTGCATTTAAAGTATTAAAGGGAAACGGGAAAAATACTTAGAAAATTATTCAAGCCCTCAATCATCTGCTGGGTAATCGTGTAGACCGTCCATTGTTGGTGGATTTCACAGACTTTTGGAACGCAATAAAGGTTTTTCCGTACCCATAACGGACGAAACAGAAAACTATTATTTTTATTATTATTTTTATTATTATTATTATTATTACCAAGAATCAGAGAAACGGAAATTCCGGCTTCAAAATTAGCGATACCTGAAAGTGCTCCATTCATTTTCAGAAAAGGAAGAGTAGCAAAGAAGTTTCCGTGGAAAAGTTTAAATGCAAAATATTGGCTATCTATTCAAACTTTGTACGTAACACCTGAGATCAAGCGTCTGTAGTAATAATAATAATAATAATAATAATAATAATAATAATAGTCAAGGTAGAAGCGACTTGCAGTGAGGACAGAAGTGCGGTAAGGTGAAATATCTCCAAAATCGTGGGTAATAATTATTCACGAAGGTGCAGATAGGTGCGCAGAATAACGCTTACATAACCAAAAATTGTACAAATAAGAATACGATTTCTTTCCGTTCTGCTTTTATCAAACCACTCTGTTTTATCAAAATCTTGATAGTTTTTTCTCGAAAACTGAAATAGTTCACAAAAGAAATCGCTAGCAAAGCCAGTAATAACTATTTCGTTTAGTGCACAATAAGCTTTTGATCAGAATACTGTTTTTTAACAACTGGAAAATCCCTATTTTAGAAAGATCGATATCCATTGCATATCAGCGTACCAAAGTAGCAAGTGCAGCAAGCTATCTTCCAGTGAACCGATAATCCACGACTTTCTATGACGAATTCTGACGAGAAGGGGAACTGTAGAAAATTGTCACTTTAATTTTCGTGTGTTAAGGTGACATATTCTTAAGAAGAGTTGAACCATTTGTGTGCAAGTGAGCGTAAATTCTACAGTTGCCCTTAAGAGTTATGAAATTTGTCAAAAGCTGTTTCAAGCCCATTCCGCTCTTCCACTTCATGATGCTTGCATTCCTCCTATTTAAGTTAGAATATGTCTGTAAATGCAAAGACTCGGTTGATTGTTGGTATTATGTCTGATCATGGGAATTGTGACAAGAGCGTAGGATAGAACTTATCTTGGTTCGTGTTCACACTCGTTGCATTGCAAATACAATTTCCCCCACGATCAGTTCAACTTCCCTATGTTGCCTAAAGTCTGAACGAAACTGATGGATACATTTATCTTTCGAGAATATTTAGACAATGCGGAACCACAAAGAATGTGGATTGTCAACTGTGCGTCTTGTCTAACAATCCGACATTGATTTTCTGAAGAAGTTGGAGGTATCGTGTGACTTTCGTTACCCAAATACATCCACAAACAAATTCCCCGTTGATCGGCTGTCAACGCACTGGCACTCACGCTCACCAGATTTGAGAGAACCCCGGGGCATGTGGTGAGATTTTGGTTTCACAATAAAACAAACGGGAACTTTGACTGTGAACTGATGACAGCCCGTGTTTTCGTTCCCGACTGATACTCCAGTTGTAAGTCGGAAAGCATGACATTTTCTATTCCTAAAGGAAATAAACGATGGGTGTTATCGACCTGGTAGTAGTATCGCAGTGGTTTTCTGAATCCCCACTGTTGAAAACTTCTGATTGGGCCCTGATTACCGTACAACGGAGGAAGAAACGGACCCTACCATTGTGAGTATTACCCCAATAATTATCGCCAAATTTTAGACTCTACGTCATTCAGTAGGGGAGTTTTCTTTGCAGATTTGCAATCTATGACATTTTATTCTAGTGTTTACGTACAAATTTTATTCTTATTGTCTTCTAGCCAGCTGCTTTATTTTTTGGCAATCCTTGGAAAAATTTTTGCAGAACTAATCTGTCTAGTTTACCACCACTTGGGGAAAATCGTACTTCTCCACTCGCTTCAAATTTGCTACTGCTACATTAAAAATGTTCATTGAGAGTTTTCACCCGAGGGTCTTACAGGATTAATAGAATCGATGTAAGTTATTTCATTATTTAGGTTTTTTTGTTTGTCTTCACGATCACTGTTCAACTCAACTTCTTTCAGTATACATACATCTATATCTATAGAAATTGTGCGTACATACATGCATACACATACGTACGTACATGCATACATACATACATACATACATACATACATACATACATACATACATACATACATACATACATACATACATACATACATACATACATACATACATACATACATACATACATACATACATACATACATACATACATACATACATACATACATACATACATACATACATACATACATACATACATACATACATACATACATACATACATACATACATACATACATACATACATACATACATACATACATACATACATACATACATACATACATACATACATACATACATACATACATACATACATACATACATACATACATACATACATACATACATACATACATACATACATACATACATACATACATACATACATACATACATACATACATACATACATACATACATACATACATACATACATACATACATACATAGACTTAAATACCAGCGACTTTGAATCGAAAAATGCATCAACAATGTGCAAAATTGTATCAAATTTAGGTTAAGTGTCCCAGAATCAAAACCTATTGGAATCTCAGTCAAATTTATTTTCCTCACCCGAGTTCAATTTCAGCTGCGTGTTACCATTGATCCACCTATCGAACAACCCGCAAACGAACGACACCGGAAATCACCTCACCGTCTCATAAATGAAGTTCTAATAGCTGCGACACTTGAACCAATTTTTGTACTGTTATTCTATCTGTCAGTCGGAGAAGAAAGGACAACACGAAGAGCAAAACCGATCCATAAGCTTTTTCACAAATAGACAAACAAATAATTGTTTATTCACTTGAATTCATAAATTTTCGCACTGGTGTGCGTCTAAAACGCGTGAGCAGAATTTGCTTTGGGTGGGGCAGCGCGACGTCAAAACTGATTTCACACATTTGTCGCTAAGTTACCATTTCCGAAGCAGTAAAGCGCCCTAAGTAGGAAGCTTTTCTTCCAGACCTATTTCTCATATTTCATTTGTGATTAGCGTGTTTTGTTGGGAGATTTTCTGCGATTTCTCTTCAAACCGTAGTGAGACAGTAGTATCCAGAAGCTGAGAATTACTTTGTGGATCATTATTTTCTGGCTTTATGGGGATCACGTCGCCTTGTTGCAGAACAAATGGAGACAGTTTTGTTAACTGAACCATTTTTTTAAACTTCTTACTTTTATTAACTAAACACCTGAATATGTAACTTTCCAGGACGGAGAAAATATTCTACTGTAAGCTGTCATGAAAAAAGCATAATCTAAGCCGTCACTTCTTGTATTTCACGGATTTGAAGTTTTGCTTGCCTCGTGGAAGTAAGATAGTTCACTGAACTTCCAGCTCAACCCATGAGAGAGCAACTGAGGAGTGCGTACGCATCAACATTTGCATGCGGTTTATTCTGTGGGCATATAATAAAGCCTAAGGCTCACATGGTTTGTAGCCGATGGCCTCCTCAGAATGTATCTTTCATTATCAACTGTGGTAATCTTATCCCATGAGTGTGCATGAGAGCAGCAGAAAGGGCGCATATGCCATAACTACAGCGGTTCACTATGCAGTCAGAGAGAACCGGCAACCATCACAGCACGATATCTCTACTGAGTCAGTCTAGTTGACCAGACCAGCCCCAACTGATTTCAGTCCACCATCAATGTGACTGGTGTTAGCGAAGTGCACAAGTATCAGAATGAATAAACATAATGTGGTGGAGCGTATATACTACTTGCTAGGCAGTCGGTCGCTGAAAACGGAACTATGGACAGTTGTACATTAACGAACTCCCATTTGTCCAAGAGACTAACGTAATAGGGTAAACCACGGTGTGCAAACCATAAGATTGCTCCTCCTTCTGGCTGGTACGGTCTTCAAGTGGAC